CAGATGGAATACAACGTAAATAAATGTGAAGTCATACATTTTGGTAGGAGTAATAGTAAAAAGGATTATTACTTGAATGGTAAAAAGTTGCGGCATGCTGCTATGCAGAGGGACCTGGGTGTCCTTGTGCATGAATCACAGAAGGTAGGTCTGCAGGTACAACAAGTAATTAGGAAGGCAAATGGAATTTTGCCCTTCATTGCTAAAGGGATTGAAATAAAAAGCAGAGAGGTTATGTTGCAGCTGTACAAGGTGCTGGTGAGGCCACACCTGGAGTACTGTGTGCAGTTTTGGTCTCCTTACTTGAGAAAGGATGTACTGGCATTGGAGGGGGTGCAAAGGAGGTTCACTAGGTTGATTCCGGAGTTGAGGGGGTTGGCTTATGAGGAGAGACTGAGTAGATTGGGATTATGTTCATTGGAATTCAGAAGATCGAGGGGGGGATCTTATAGAAACATATAAAATTATGAAGGGAATAGATAAGATAGAAGTAGAGAGGATGTTTCCACTGGCAGATTAGAGGGAGCAGATTTAGGACTGAATTGAGAAGGAACTACTTCACCCAGAGGGTTGTTAATCTGTGGAATTCCTTGCCCAGTGAAGTAGTTGACGCTACTTCAGTAAACATTTTTAAAGATAAGGTAGATTTTTTTTTGAACAATAAAGGAATTAAGGGATACGATGAGAACACGGGTAAGTGGATCTGAGTCCACGAAAAGATCAGCCATGATCTTATTGAACGGCGGAGCAGGCTCGAAGGGTCAGACGGCCTACTCCTGCTCCTAGTTCTTGTGTTCTTATGATTTTGAACCCAAATATTTCTGATAAATCTTCCCTCAACCTTCTACCTCAACAATCCTACTGAGAAACATCTGTGTAAATTTCAGTGCCAATGCAATGCAAAAATTTGTGAATCCCAATGTTTGAATCGAGTAACATATTTGGAATAGGTCAGGTACAGCCCATGCTTCAAAACCTGCAACATCTGCTGTTAGATGTTGTTCTGCAATTGGGCTGAACAATTCTGATTGTGCTAATAGTTACAATCACAACCAATTTCATATAACAGGTTGCGTTATAATCATTTTCAATTCACTCACAGGATGTGGTGTCACTTGATGGGCCGGCATTTATTGCCTTTCCCCAACTGACCAGAGGACAGTTAGGAGTCAACCGCATTGCTGTGGGTGTGGACTCACATGTAGGCCAGACTAGCGGTTTCCTTCCCTAAAGACATGAGTAATGTGGCACAATCGCACTGAATAGAAGAGGCATACATTCGGATGCTGGGATCTATTCTCTGCAATCACAAAGAATTTGGCTTGTTCAAGTCTTGCGGGATTTTTTTCTGAATTACCAGAGGAATTGGTTGTCTATAGTGCTACATTTTCTCCATGGCAATGCCTTGGCCAATCAAACATGCCAACCAATCTGCACACTTGTTTTTTTTCCTTTCCTGTAATTTTTATCTGATCATTTTGAAATTTGGCATCCTTGTGTTGTTTGTTCTGATCAGGCAACACAAGGTTTCAGCAACACAACTCTCTTTTCAGCCATATTCAGAATCTGAACTAAAAGCAAGTTTGTTATAACGGTGCAGGTTCGATGGGCCAAATGGCCTCTTTCTGTGCTGTAGCAATTCTGTGATTGCATGATAACAGACCCCAGCGATGATGATCTCTAATTATATAGATAAGTAAGAGAGTGGTGGAGAAGAGAAGGTTGAGGAGAGATTTGTTTGTGTCTAAAAATTTGAGGCAGCCTGAGAATGTGGACAAGGCAGACTGGCTCTAGGTCTCAAAGAATGGATAACTATCTGAAGAGCAAAACAAAAGGCTGTAGGTCTGTAGAGAAAAGATAAGGGAATTGATTTGATGAATTGGCCTTGTAGATATGATAAGCTGAATGGGATTTTTCTGTGCTGGCGTCATGCTATGCCTCTATGATTAACTCAGCTTTCTAGATTGCAACCCCTCTGCTACTGTACCAATGCAGCTGATATGGTACTTCCTATTATTGTCCACAAGTAAAATTACCATCCATTTTTGTTGGTTATGGATGCCCCAAGGGGGCCCCGAGGAAATCCCCAACATAAGCATGTTAGCAGTATTTACGTGAAGAGTTTAAATTTCTTCTGGTTTTACCCTACCTAGATTGAGCATAGAACAGTACAACACCGGAACAGGCCCATCTGCCCGCTATATCTGTGATGGTATTCGAAACTAATCCCATCTGCTTGTACATGGTTCATAGCCCTCTATTCCCGGCCTGTATATGGGTGTGTCTAAATGCGTCTTATACGTTGCTATCGTATCTGCTTCTACACTTCCTGTGACAAGCCTTTGGCTGAAAAACACCTATCAAACTCAGATTTAAAGTTCACAACTTATCTGCTATCCATTTGCACCTTTGCAGAAAATATCTTTAGCATCATTTGTAGATAACACCGTGTGGAGCTGGAGGAACACAGCAGACCAGGCAGCATCAGAGGAGCAGGAAAGCTGACGTTTTAGGTCGGGACCCTTCTTCAGAAATGAACCCATTTTTGAAGAAGGGTCCCGACTCGCAACGTCAGCTTTCCTGCTTCTCTACTGCCTGGCCTGCTGTGTTCCTCCAGCTCCATACTGTGTTATCTCTGACTCCAGCATCGGCAGTTCTTACTATCTCTTTAGCACCATTTGTGTTTGTTTGTGTATATGTGCTTGTCTTTCCCTCCCACAAATTATATTTCAGCAGACCACCACACCCGCCCAGAGTTTCCGTTGTATGTTTAATATAAAATCACAAATGTTCAATATCTAGCAATTGACGACAGGTGTTGATCGGTTGCAGAGCAGTTTTTAAGCAGCATAGACGTATAAATTCCAGCTATCTGCTTCAATCTAGGCCCTGACTAATCCGATGCTTTAAAAAAAATGCAGAAACTGCTGGGAAAACTCTGCAGGTTTGGCAGCACCCATAGAGAGAGAAAGCGGAGAGAACATTTTGGGTGCAGTTACCCTTCTTCAGAACAGCTGGGATTCTGTTTCTGATTTCCAGCGTCCGTAGTTTTGTTTTTGTTTTGTTTAATCTAATTAGTTATCTAGTTTAAGTAAGTCATACAAGCTTGGAGCAGGCAACTCCATAAAATAAAGTATTTTGTTGCTCCAATTGTTCCATCTATGGCCAAAACTGCACAAACGTGGGCTGTTCACCCTACGCATCCGCTTGCTTCTAACACACATTTACGAAGGGGTTTCCCTGGGCGATCTGAAGCCTGATGAGCAGTGTAACCTCAAGAGCAAATCAGTTGGAGTGCCAAAGCATTCCAGCAAGGTTTGGACCTCCACGTGGCAGTCTCTCCTACCACAGAGCTACCCTACCCAATAACAAACCCCTATTTTACCCCTTGATCAACACCAGAGACAGAGCATGTGGTGAATTGTGTGCGGTGCCCACAATCTGACAGTATGTTGAGAGTACACTGGGATTTCAGAATTTCTGTGTGTGTCCATAGAACCCGCACAATGTGGAAACCAGGCCATTCAGCCCAATAAGTCCACAACGACCCTCCAAGCAACATCCCACCCAGACCCATCCCCCTACCCTTACCCTGTAACTCTACATTCCCCATGGCTAATGCACCTAATCTTCACATCACTGAACACTATGGGCAATTTAGCATGGCCAATCCACCGAGCCTGCACATCTTTGGACCGTGGGAGGAAACCGGAGTGCCCGGTGGAAACACCGAGAACACGCAAACTCCACACGTACAGTTGCCGAAGGCTGGAATTGAACCCTGGTCCCGTGAGGCAGCAGTGCTAACCACTGAGCCACCGTGTGTTTGGGCATTAGGGTGTGCGGGGATGGAGAAAACTTGGGTTGGAGGGATGGTTGAGAGTGTTGCTCACTGTCATGGGGATGGTGTATTCAGAGTCAGAGTCATATAGCATGGAAACAAGACCCTTTGGTCCAACCTGTCCACGCTGACCAAGGTTCCCAAACTAAACTAGTCCCACTTGCCTGCGTTTGGCCCATATCCCTCTGAACCTTTTCTATACATGTACCTATCCAAATGTCTTTTAAATGTTGTAATTGTACCTTCATCTAGCACTTCCTCTGGCAGTTCATTCCACACATGAACCATCCACTGTGTAAAAATTACCCCTCAAGACCCTTTTTAAATCTTTTCCTTTTCACTTTCACTTTAAAAATATTCCCCCACCACAGGGAAAACACCTTGGCTATTTGCCTTGTCTGTAATTTCAGTTGTGGGGGTGGGGACATGTGAGAACATCTTTATCAAAGAGGCAGATGATCACAGTCAGGATGAGGGGGTAATTTTCACTGTTTGTTGCCGGGGGGGGGGTGGTGGCAGGCGTATGTTCAGTATTCGGGTTAGGGTGAGCAATAATGCAGAGCGGGAGAGAGGTGACTGTTGTTGGGAAATGGGGCTGTGATTATCACCAGCAGGAGGTGAGGGGGTGATTACTGTTGAAGTGAGGGTGCCTGATCAATGTCTGGGTGGGTGTGAATGATTGATACCATCACGGGTGATCACTGACAGTGGGGGCAGTAAAGGATGTTTACCGCTGACTTGGACATTCGCACTGAGGAAGGAAATGTTAGCAATGGGATAATGAACAATGGTCAATGTGCAGTCATGGGACATTTACATTGAATAGGCGATGGCATTTTTGGTTGGTTTTATGCTCCCTCCCAACCTTAACTATCCCGCAACGCAGGGGAACAGTTGGATTTCAGGTCACCCAAAATAATGTAGGAGTGAAGTGGTAATGTAATGATTGCCACTCCTTGGAGTATCTCGGTCCATGCCCTTATTGAATCCACATCGAGCCTGTGGGAGCTGGTGTGAGTTCCCATAGAATTGTCCAGTACAGAACAGGCTGCACTAGGCCTATAGCCTCAGATCTGAGCCTTTTGTTTCTGTGTTGGCTGTGAGTCTCCACAAGACTGTTCGCTTTATAGTATCTTACATCAGTTAAACAGCTGCTGAGAGATTGTAGTTGCGAGATGACAGACTCATTTTATTGCAGCATATGAACACAGCTGGTGAGCCTGTCCATTTTATACAACTGATCCTGGTTAAACAGGTGCTTGACGGATTACAGCTCGGCAACGGGAAGCTCATTTTTATGACTTCAGAAGTGCAAACTAAGAATGTTGTGCGTGTGCCTGTCTGTGTGTGCGCGTGTCTGTGTGTGTGCCTGTCTGTGTGCGCGTGTCTGTGTGTGTGCAGCTGCAGAATGATTTATATAGACTCTCTCTTTCTGGGGCTGGGATAAACTACACCGAAATTCAGAAAAGCGAGGCCTGTCTCTCGTTCGTGCTGCCGGCTGAGGCTGAACAAGCCCTAAGTAACATCTAACCCAATTAGTTTGAATATTTTCTGAACTGATCGACCATAGCCAAATTAGTTTGAAATTTTTTCTGAGCTCACGATGACGTACTGCTATATTTGTAATTCTCTCGTTTTCTGTTCTAGTTATGTGGTTGGCAGTTAAACTGTCAAAGCAGAAATGCAGTTTAAAGAAGGGGAGTAGACACACGGCTCAGGCAGAGAGAGACAGGCTTATGTTTTACAGTCAAGTATTAACCGAGACAATGTCTTCACCAGATGAGACACGCAGGCTGTCCAATGGTTTATTCTCTAGTATCCAAACTGTGGTCTGAGTTTCATCTTGTGGCTTTTTTAAAAAAAAGCACATGTCACATTTGAACCCAGAGATGGCCACTGACTTCTCTCAAATTGGAGGAATGGAAATGCAAATAAAGAGAAATTCTTTTGCCAGCATATACAAGATTAGCTCAGTTAGAATGAGGAGCCGAATGATGCCAACATCACTTGCCCAATCTCTGTGCCAGCTGATGTAACATAAAAACTATTCCCTCGCCCCATCATAATACCATAACATAAGCCATTATTATAAACTCTCACATAAAAGGGGATACTATCTGATACGAAAATATAAATTGCTGGAAAAGCTCAGCAGGTCTGGCAGCATATGAGGAGAGCAATCAGAGTTAACTTTGCGAGTTGAGTGACCCTTCCTCAGAATTGATCTCCAGCAACTTCTATTTTTGTCTCTGATTTACAGCATCCACAGTTCTTTTATGCTATCTGACAGGTGAAATGAGGGGACACAGCTGAAGACATTCTGTCACCACGACATTACTGATTTGAAACATTTTCTAGTATAAGTTCTCTTACATTCCACTTTGATGTATCTGTAACCGTACTTGAACCAAGTCTGAAATGAATTCTATGGAGAGTAGTTCTAGCAGGAGGCAAACTGAGCATAGTGCTGTTTCTAGTCATTACCGACAAATAAATGGGGGCAATTCAACTTCACTAACTCTGGTAGTATATGAATTTCTAATGTGAATATACTTGTTCAGCTAAGCTCACAGACCAGGAACATCGTGCGTAGGTTTCTGTTATCGTATTTCTCCCATAGGCTGTTACTGTAGAGTCATAGAGTCATACTGCGTGGGAGTAGATCCTTCGGTCCAACTCATCCATGCTGACCAAATATCCTAAACTGATCTAATCCCATTTGCCAGCATCTTGCTCACATCCCTCTAAGCTCTTCCAATTCATGTACCCATCATTATGCAGATGTATAGTACTGCTTTCCCCAGGCAAACCAATTAAATCCACTGACTTTTTAAAAATTGTTTGCTGTGATGTTGTCCTTGGCAGCTTAAGAACATATGTAATAGATAGAGCATTGGAACACAAACCCCTGCCTGTCTCACCCACTCAGTAAGTTTATGACTGAACTTCTGTCTTGATTAATTTTCACGCTGTGTTGCCACATCCCTTGATTCTTTTAGTGCCCACACGTCTTTCAACCTTAGTCATGCTTATATTCATGTTTGATCATTTACCTAAACTTGGGACAAAGAATTTAAAAGTTCACAACCCTTTGAATGAAGAAATATCTATGTTCAGTTTTAATGAGTCAAACAACTCCCTTGAGGCTATCAGGGCCAGTCCAATTCAGCCTGAGACTTCACCTTATCAGCATCTACCCTATTAAATGTTCTAGGAATTTTATATGTTTCAGTAAGATTACTACTTACTTTTCCAATTCTGGGGTTTATAGGCTAATTTTGTTTAACCTTTCACCATAGGACAACTCTTTAATTCACGTTGTTAAGTGAAACTTGAGCCAAAGCAAGTATGCACATTCTTAAGTAACAGGCACAGCTATAACTGAGGCCCAATTTGCTCACTCTTGTGACCTCTGCTATTCAGAAAGATGAGTGCTGCAGGTACATAGAAATACCATTTTCTCAAAGTTACCATTCCTGCCACACTGTAATAATGCATCACCATTCCATCATTATTATTGGTTAACTTTTGAAATGCCCAACCCAATGGGACTATGGGAGCACAACACCATATGAATTTCAATGTTTCAAGAGGGTGGTTCACCTGCATTTGAGATTGATGCTACTTAATTGCAGTTCATTTGTAAAATGTGCCCCTAAAGTGAAAGGGCTCCAGCCCTTAATTCGCTCTCAATTGTTTATTCGTCCTCTGTACAGCGCGCTCTGGTTTTTTTTCCCTCCCGCCCTCGAATCCCTAATCTCTAATGCTTGAAACTGCAACTGCTGACAATACTTCTGATCAATGCTGTATCCAGTTTGTCTTTGCCGTACGTGGCCTGCTTGATGGATGGCAATTCCCCTTGAAGATTGTAACACACTTGTGCAGATTGCAACAAATTGCAGATTGCTCCTTTCTCCCAAATTGATCGTGTTGGGCTATTGTTGATGAGCTGGCGATGGATGATGTGGCAAGAAATGGAATTCGGGGTGGGGGGAGTCTGAGTCAGCTGGCATTTTTAACATCTTCATTCCCAAATTCTGAAATGATTCAATATGAAAGCCAAATGTAAGCAAAATACTGTAAAATCTAAAATAAAACTCGGCAGATTTGGCAACATCTGTGGTGAGAAAGGCAGAATTAATCATTTGAGTCCGGTATGACTCTTCTTCAGAGCTGAAAGGAGCTGGAAAAATGTGGTTTCTAATTTGTAAACAGAGTGGGAGGAAGAGCAAGTGGAACAGATTATCAAAGGGCTCACAATGATAGATAAGGGCAGTTATAATGATGGTTAAGGAGTGATAGGTTTGCACTGTAGGTTAAAATATCTCATGCAAACACATCTGTGACAGAAAATATAGGTGAGGACAAGGTCACAATTTTGTTTTTCCTATTGTTGATTCCCTTGCCATCCACTTCAGATCCAGTCTAGCAGCTTTATTCTTTAAAAATGAGCAAACATGGTCAGTGGTAGTGCTGCCAAGCTACTCTTGGTGAAAACAAAATGTTCTGTGCCCTTGCCACCCTCAGCGCTTCCTCCAAGAGGTGTTGCATGTGATGGTTGACTGATAAATCAAGCCCAGATGTCACAGGAAGTGGTGGCATACTTGCCCATTTTTGACCAGGTACCATAAAATCTCATGTGATCCACTTTTTTTTTATTCAAGTTAATACACAATTACGGTTCTGTTCACTGGCTATGCTTGAACTGCTGCTAAATTTATGATTTTTGCAGTTCAGCTCCTTTTAAACATCTGGGCTCATTACAACAACACTAAGGGGGTGATACGGTGGCACCAGGGACCAGGTTCAGTTCCACCCTTGGGCGACTGTCTGTGGGGAGTTTTCACGTTCTCCTCAAGTCTGCGTGGGTTTTCTCCGGTTGCTCTGGTTTCCTCCCACAGCCCAAAGATGTATAGGTTAGGTGAATTGGCCATGCTAAATTGTCCAGAGTCTGCACGTTAGATCGATTAGCCCTGGGAAATGCTGGGTTACAGGGATGGGGGTGGGACTGGGTGGGATGCTGTTCAGAGGATCAGTGTGGACTCAATGGCCTGTTTCCGCACTACAAGGTTTCTGTGATCTAGGTCACAGTTTCCCTATTGAGACATCTCTCAGATGCATTTATCCAAGGAATATTTGACTTGATGTGGGATTGAATGTTAGTACCATGTCACTGCCAAAGCAACTCTAAAATACAATACGCTGAAAATCCTTTCAAAAACAGAGCAGTGCAAATTGCATATTTTTAAAATTATAATTGTAGTTGGTCATCAAGTTATTTCTTGTTAAATAAGCAAAAAAATTTGCTGCTGGAATTTCCCGTATTATCATGTGGCAACGTGATGGGGCTGGAAATTCCCAGTGATTTGACTCTTCCTCTAAGTAACATTATACCATGAAACAAAGGCAGTGAGTTTGGCTTTTCAGAAAATGGCACTTGCCGTGCTAAATCTTTTATTTATTATTGTCACATGATACAGAGAAAAGCTTTGCTTTGTGTGCACTACAGGCAGATCATATCATACAATGTGTATTAGGGTAATAGAACAGAGCAAAGAATACAATGTCATGGCTGAACAGAAGGTGCACAAAGATCAAGATCGACATTAAATTTAAAATTAAAGAGGTCCATTCAGAAGTCGAATAGCAGCAGATGAAAAGCTGTTCTTGAATCTATTGGTGCGTGTGTTTAAGCTTTTATATCTTCTGCCCAACGTAAGAGGTTGGAAGAGACTATAACTGGGGTGGGAGGGGTCTTTGATGTTGGCTGCCTTCCTGAAGCAGCGAGAAGTATATATCAAGTTGATGGATGGAACGTTGGTTTGCATGATAGACTGGGCAGTGTTCACAGCTCTCTGTAGTTTCTGTTAGTCCTGTGCAAATGATAAAAGAAGTTTCAAATGGCTGGGGTAACCACGCGATGCTGACACTAGGCATGACAGGCTGTCCACCACTAACCTCAATGTCTATTGTCAGTCTTTCCTGTATTGTCTATCTATCCCTTGCAAATTTTCTTGATCATGTGGATTTCATTAATTTCTCCCTCCGATGTAATTCTTTGCTGGCATGCTAAGCTGAAATGCATCAGTTTTCCTTTGCAGAGAGAGAACACCGTGTCAAAGGAGTCTGATTCTCCTACTCCCTACTGTTCCCCAGCCTGAGGTCATGAGGTGCAGCCACAGGATTCTGTTGGCCCTTTAAGAGCGGCAACTTA